AGGCATGATCAATTGCTTCTGATAGGGTGGGAAAGACCTCAGACTCTGCCCTTGAGTAGAACTCTAACCTTTAATTGACAAAGCTCCCAATGCCAATCATGACCCAGACCCCAAACTTTAACTCATACCCAATCCTAAACCTTTATCCTTGCTTTATTCTTGACCAACCCCAAGGTGTACATCAACCCAAAAGCTAAATCTTGACTGAGTTCCTGACTCCCAATTTTAACTCAGGCCAGGACCCAGACCTCAACCAACCTTGACCCTGACTCTTGACCTGAACCCTGAACCTCTAACCATAAGCCAAACTCAGCCTTGACCCAAGCACTGAATGTCGCCATTACCTCAGTCCCAAACCTGCCCCATGCACACTTGGCCATTACTCTCCATCCCCCTCATATTGCAGGAAGACCATGCTGCTATCCTCCCCACAAACCCATCTCACATCTAACACCAATCCTAGCACTCTGACCCCAAGCCCACCCTATTCTAACCCTCAACACAATTGCTACCTGAAAACCCATTTGTGTTTCCATCCCCATCTCTTTCTTTCATTCCATTCTAATTTTTCCAAATCCACACTCAATTTTGAGCCTTCATTTCACACAAACTCTAAGATAAAGCCTACCAGATAATAACGTACTAATGTTGATGTCATATTAATTAAATTCAAGCCAAGTCCCCAAAACTTCTGAGATGTTTACTCTCATCAGATCCAAAATCAGATCCCAGAACTTTACACCTAGGCTTGCCAGTTCCCCAGCAGGACCCCGACCTTGGGGAGTGTCAACCTTTCTGACTGGGGCTCCCAAATCAAGAAGAAGAATCCCCTGGCTGCCTTGACCTCCCAGCACCATGACCCAGCAACCCATGTCTTTCTTTCGTGGTTTCCCAAAGATAGAAATTGTAGTAGATAACCAGTTTGTTATCTACTGCCCAAATCTTCATCCCTGGATTATCTCGTCCCTCAGTCCTCTGCCTTCTCAGCAATCTGTTAGAAAGAGGAAGGAGCTATGCTACTCTGGAGCCCTGTTACTCACTCCTAAATCACCACAATGTCTATGCTGTGCTTTGCACTATCTGTCACTCTGTAAATTATGTTCTTAATTATTTAATCTGATTTTCTTGCTAAATACTGGTCTTCACATGCAGAGGAAATGCATCTGGTGTTCACTGTTGTTTTCTTCAGCACCCAGCCCAGACCAGAGAAGAGAACACAAGTGGTACTTTAAAAAATACTAGTTTGCAAATCTCTGGCATCAACAGATCCACCAGCTTTGGACTGGTCCTGCCTTGATCCCTGAGCTGTTCACTGCCATGGGGTGTGATAGAAACTTGGCCTCATGAGTCAGTCCAGCCCAGGTGTGAATTCCATGTGCCCACTCTGTGACTTTGAATAAGTGACATCATTTTTCTGAGTCTCACTTTGCCCCTTTCTAAAGTGGGAAGGAGCAAAACCTACTTCTCAAGGCAAATGGGAGGATTAAATAAAATTGTGAATGGAAAATTGATGAGCACATAACAGAGCCTGAATTAATATGAGCTCCTATTTCTTGTTTACCTACAGTGTGGTGTGCCAGGTTCATTTCAGATCTTGTCTCTAGTCCTCACATTGGTCTAAGTGAGGGTTATCATCCTCATTTTGTAGATGAGAAAACAGAAGTTTAAAAGAGATTAGATTACTTCAGCAAAGTCACATGGCTAAGGAGTCAGAAGTATCAGAATGTGAATGCTGGGGGATTTAAAAGCCCTTGCTGTCACCACTGCACAAACCCACACTCTGAGGAGGAAGTTTCCCTGTTGTAGCCATACGTACCCTCTGAGTCTCATCTGTCTTCAAACAGACTTGGAAGCCCTGGGCCGATTAATGCTGCGTACCCCCACATGGGTGAGACCCAGCCTGCGCCCTTTGGATTTAGTCCTAGCACTTGTTGCTAAGTCCCACCCAGGTGCCCAGCTGCATACCTTCCTCACGCTCAGAACTATGTCCTGAACCTTTGCTTGATGATTCATCTTCCAGCTCATGATCATACCTGGGAACTGGCATCTAACTATCCTGCCAGCTATGCCTTGCCCTGAGGGATCCTGGGCACTGTGACCCTGGCAACGCCTGACTCAGCCTGTGGGTGCTGATGGCCCATTGTTTTTGACCTCCTGGGTTCTCTTCCCCCTTCTTCCCAGAGCAGCACTCCACTTCTTTTGGGGAGATGCTCCCTCATTTCCTATACTTTTAGTGAAACTGTCAGTAATAGTTCTTCAACCACACCCATTCATTGGGCCAAGCCAACAAGGTCACTGCTTTCTCCCCATCAACAATAATGGATCTAAGGGGTGGGCCCAGTTCAAGCTGGATCAATTACAGTTTTCCCTGGGGCTAATATCAAGGTGCTGGGAGAAAGGAAGGCTTTGCTTGTGCTGAGTTTGCTTCACTATATCTGTCAGTAGCTGCTAAGTTCCTTCCATGTGAAGAAGTCTGTCTCTAGAGCCTACAGTGAGATTCACAGGAGAAAAGAAGAGACATGCTGAGAGGAGAAACAGCTCACACACATGAGAGAGAGAGAGAGAGAGAGAGAGAGAGAGAGAGAGAGAGAGAGAGAGAGAGGCAGTCAGAGTGACAGAGAGAAAGCAGCACAGAGAGGCAGACATATGATTGACTTAAGTCATCATTTCAAGTACTTGAGGTTCTGGCACCCATGTCTCTTCTTTCGGCATCATGAGCTACCTCCGCAGCCCTCCTGGTCACCTAAGCCAACAAGTTCCCTCCTTTGTATAAGCCAGTTTGAATTGGAGCTCTGACCCTTATATCCAAGAGGCCCCTGGCAAGGTGGGTCCTTTCAGCCTTCATCTGTTCCTGATGTTCTGATCTTTTGCCAGACTCCACAGTCCATGGTTCTATTCCTGAATTGCTAGTTGACCTTGGATAAATCCTTTCCCTTCCCAGATGTCAGCCAACATGCCCACGTCCCCCAGCACCCAAGATTAACTAGATCAATCTTTAAGTCTTCTCTGGCTTATCTTCCATTGGAGACATTAAAATACCTTCTGGATGTTGGATGATATTAAGGAATTATCATCAACTCTGTAAAGTGTGATAATGTAAGTTGGTTAGGTTTTTAAAAATCTATCTTTTGGAGCAATGGTTGGCAAACTTTTTCTATAAAGAGCCAGCCTATAAATATTTTAAGCTGTGTGGACCAGGAGACAAAAAAAATGGAGGACATTATGTAGGTATTTAATAATAAGAGAGAAAATAAATTTTCCTAATTTTTAATTGAGGAAATTTAAAATATAGTAATAATAATTTAGCACAAATTTTTGTCATACAAGTCTACTAATAAGAAGAGTGGAATTCTTGGGGCCGGACGTGGTGGCCCAGGTCTGTAATCCTAGCTCTCTGGGAGGCCTACGCGGGTGAATCTGTTTGAGTTCAGGAGTTCGAAACCAACCTGAGCAAGAGCGAGACCCCGTCTCTACTATAAATAGAAAGAAACTAATTGGCCAACTAATATATATAGAAAAAATTAGCTGGGCATGGTGGTGCCTACTCGAGAGGCTGAGGCAGAAGGATCGTTTAAGCCCAGGAGTTTGAGGTTGCTGTGAGCTAGGCTGACGCCACACCACTCACTCTAGCCTGGGCAACAAAGTGAGACTGTGTCTCAAAAAAAAAAAAAAAGTGGAATTCTTTTTGAGAGATAACATCTTGTTTAATTAGGGTTCCCTATGTCAATCAAATAGTAAAACTATTTTTGGCTCATGAGATTTGGCCCACCAGCTGTAGTTTGTACCCCCATTTTAGAAATGCATAATTCAGAATGAGACGATATGATGAATGAGATGTACTTTAAAATATTCTAGCATTAGGGAAGTATGTGGGAATACAGGTGAAACAAGAATTGGTTTTGTATTAATTGTTGAAGTTGGATGTTGGTAGATGAGGATTCATTATGCTATTCTATTTTGCATATGTTTGAAAGTTTTCATAATAAAAATTATAAAACAATTCTTGGAGTTGAGATGTTCCTTAGGTAGTCCCTCCACAAATGCATCCCTGGCCTCAGAACCTTAATATCAGTCTTAAAAGACTTCCTCAGGATTTCTGGTGTTGGCAGACTGTCATGGAGGATGCAAGGCATCTCACACATCCACACCCCTTTGTGAAGAACTGCCTTCCCATAGCCCTAGGTGGCCATGTTTTATATCACATGACTCTAAGTAGCCACTGATTGGATAGGATTGGTCACCTGAACATAATGCAGCCAAACAATAGGCCATCCACTTACCTATGATGTGGCTGAAGGAGAAAGGATGAACTGGACCAATCAGATTCTCTTTCATGAGAACATAATTTGAGAAATCCCAGGAGAGTGACTATTTATATCCTTACACTAAGTACCCTCCCTCCATACATGCCTTCGCCAGAAACTACTTATATTAATGAAAACTGCAAATGTCCTTTGCTTCCCATTTCAAATTGGGCACAACATTCATTTCCTTCTACCACAGCAGACACCACCAGAGGGCTCTAAGCTGTGAGAAAGAGTTCTAGATTTGGGGGGATTGTCAAGATTTTGGGGGGAAAAAGAAGATTGTTGACCTGAGTGATGGTTTCATGGGTGTTTGTTAATATTTAAGTTCTTCATATATTTTCTGCACTCTTCCCTATGCATACCTCATTGTTTTTGTTTTTTTTTTAAAAAGGGGTAGGAATCTCCCTCCAAAGTCTGTAAATACTTTAGCTGCTTAGAAAATTTAAACAAAAATCTTCTCAAAACGGTCTTTCACAGACAATCCCACTGGATGTTTGAAAACTCTTGCATGTCTTCTCTCTCCTGAGATAAGCCTCTCACTCACACAATACTTCTAGAAAAAAGGGGAGTTGCTGCAGGCAGTGGTGATGGCCAGAGTAAACATGGGGTCCCAGTCTCTCCAGATGCCCACCAAGCCTTCTCCCCAGCTACCTCTCCCCACAGGGCCAAAACCAGACAGGCAAGGAGCCAAGCAGAGTTATGAGTTTATTCAGGTGGATCCAGGGCTCATCTTAGGATCAGACCTTGGTGCCCATTGTCTTCTTGATCCAGTCCAGGTAGCGGCAGATGTTTGAATAGACACCAGGTTTATGGGGCAACCCACAGGGGTCTGAGCCCCAGGATGTGATGCCCTGGAGTACGCCATCACACACCAGAGGGCCCCCAGAATCACCCTGGAAGGGAAGAACGAGAAGGGGGCTTCATCTAAGATGCTCACAAAGTTCCTTTTCCTGCTATACCCAGAGTATTTAATACCAGTTCTTCAGCAAGATTGGCTCCCTCTAGCCAGTGGAGATAGGACCATGGTCCCTTGAAATTAGGATCCCTAATCTCTTGAGTTTAGGATCTCTAAACTCCCTTGAGGGGGTTTGGATCCTTCATGCAAGAGAGACAGACAGGATATCTAAGGGCAATGGTCCAAATCCTGACCAATTAGGGAAAAGAATCAGTTCTCAAGGGTCCAGTCCATTGAGAAGACAGTGGAGATTACACGGAGGTGACTGAGCTGATGTTGCCTCCAATTTCTGGCCAGTGGTGAAGAGATCATTGATTCCAGTTACCAAACACAGGAGAAAGGCTCATGGTTCCGGTGAGACAGACACACACACACACACACACACACACACACACACACATTCACACACAACAAATCCACAAAGGACAGTGGCTGAAATCTTTGTGAAGGAGACCATTGCCTCCATGAAACAATCCAGGGAGACTGGCTTTCATGGTAGTATCACTGATGGACATGACTCCATTCTTGGCCAATGGGGAAGCAAGCATTGTCTTCAGGAACCAATCATTAGCAAAGGGGGTGGGTCTTACATGAAGGGGACAAAGGGGGGGGGCCCAAGGACAACAGATTGAAGTTGCACCCACAGGAAAGAGCGTTAACATCTATTATAAACCCCAAGACAAGGGAATGGGATCTCATTGAGGAAACACTGAAGTCAATGGTGCCATTCCGCAGCCAATTGGGAAACCAGCATTGTTCCTCAAGGAACAAATCACAGGAGAAGAGAGCCATCCTTGGGAACACAGCCAGGTCTCGAGGAGAAGTGGGTGACGACTACCTGGCCAGTGGGAAAGTTGGCCCAAATTCCAGGAGGTAACACTGGGAAAGGGAGCCTGCCTTAGACTTAATGGACCTCTCCCCTCATCCTCTATAGCCTCTCTCTTTGCACCTCATCCTGCCGGCAAGAGTTCTCAAGAAAATGAGAGTGACAAGTCAATGCTTTTGATTCCTACGCTGTGTGACCTTGAGGGAGAGTTTGGCCTTCTCTGAACCTGGTTCCCACTCTGCAGAGACGAGGGTGACCTCCATAGATACCAACTCTTTGAGGTCAGCGCCCCCCACCCCAGCCAAGCCTTCGGCCTCTTGAGTGGTGTGAGGGAGGAGGGAGAGGGTAGGAGGGAGGAGGCAGATTTTAGAAGTCACCCACCTGGCACGTGTCAGCCCCATTGTTGTTGCCAGCACAGACCATGCTGTCTGTGACCTGCCCTGGGTAGGCGTCCTCACACTTCTTCTTGTTAATGATATTTACGTCTGCACAGTTGAGGGTGTCAGGAAAGTTCTCTGTGAGGGGAGAGGTTGTAAGTTCCCTGAGAGAGCAACCGTTTGCTTCCATCCCTGTCTGGATCTAACTTCTGTACAGTCCAGCCACAGCTGCACGGGGAGCTTTCTTACACATTTCATGGGGCACATCACTTCTCATCACAGTTTCTTTTTTTGGCACCCTGGGTAGAGTACAGTGGCATCAGCCTAGCTCACTGCAACCTCAAACTCCTGGGCTCAAGTGATCCTCCTGCTTCAGCCTCCCGGGTAGCTGGGACTACAGGCATGCGCCATGATGCCTGAGCAATTTTTCTATTTTTAGTAGAGACGTGGTTTCGCTCTTGCTCAGGCTGGTCTCAAACTGCTGAGCTCAAGGGATCCTCCCCCATTGGCCTCCCTCCCAGAGTGCTAGGCTTACAGGCATGAGCCACCACGCCTGGCCACTTCTCACCACATTAAACGAACCTGTGTCTCCTGCTACTTGGCTTTCTCCATCTAGAGAGGGGCCCTTGGATCTCATATTTTTTTCCTTGCCTTGAGTCATTTTCAAATCAAGAGGCAGAGGGGACTTGTCCCCTTATGACACCTCTGACCCTCTCACTCCAGTCTTCCTGCCCCTCAGACTACCAGGTCCTCAATCTCTGCAAAATTCTACTCCTAAGTATTAACTCCTCCTAGAAACCTTCCTGAGCACTCTAAAACACTCCATCTCTCACTATCCTTTTACCCTCCACCGTATTTCACTATAGCATTTAACTCTACCTAGTATTTTATTTTACATGTATTTGTTTATTGTCTGTTTCTCCCACCTTGCTTGCAATTCCATAAGGACAGGGACTTCTTATAGTTTGTAAATGCCTGTATCCCCAGTGCCTACAACAGCACCTGGGGCATACTAGGTGCTCAATAGATATGTTATATTAATGATTGAAGGTAAAATTAATCTTTCTTATTAACCTCCTCTGAGGAATAGATTTGTCGGGGGAAAACTTCCATCTGGCACCTCTATATGCCAGCAGCTGTTTGCTCACAATCACATGTAACCCTCACAATAGCACTTTGAAGGCGGGATGCCTTCACCCATTTCATTATCCATTCATCCGTTCCACAAATATTCATGGAGCACTTACTGTGTACCAGGTACCATCCTGAGCACTAAGAACACACAATGAAGAAAATAAATGTAACCTGAGCCCTCACGGAGCTCAAAAATCTACTGGATAATGATTCTCATTTTGCAGATGAGGAAAGTGAGGCCAAGAGAAGGAAAGGGACTTGCCCAGGGACATGGGGAAGAGCTGTGGTTTGGATCGATCTCCCCGATTCGTGAGCAGGTGTGTTTCTATAGCCTCATACTTTCTCATTCGAAGTAGGAGTCAGACAGACAGGACACGAATCCAGGTTTTGCCACTTCCTGAAGAAGCCCATTGCCTCTCTGAGCTCGGCCCGTGTTTGTACTGTGAAGTAGGGTGAGGGGCTGTCTGGATTCTGAAGTCCCAAAGGGACAGCTTCCATGGAGGTCTAGAATGAGAAGGGAGCTGGGGACCTAGACTTCTGGGTCCTGGGGGAGGAAAGGCCTGGATATCTGGGTCTGAGAGAACAAGAGAGCAGGTCTTAGGTTTCCTGGGGTCAAGAGGGAGATGTCTAGGAGCCTGTTTCCCTGGGCCTCTGAGGAGTCCGTATATCATAAATTTGTTAAGAAGATTATGTAAAATCCTATATAACAAAAGCTCTCATAGAACGGTACTCTCCACCATAAAAATGGGTTTCCTCAAGCTCTGCTTCCTTATCTGTTAGTTTGCTCTCTTTCTCTCACCACTCCTGTTTATAGTCTGGCCTTCAAGGTTTCTAACATGGCCGCCCCATGTGAATCCCAACATCATAATCTCTTTCCCTTCCTTGTCTCCTCTGGGGAACCAAGCTTTGCCAATGGCTCGGGGTCCACTGGGCCAAGCAGCTCCTCCTCTCCCTCCCAGGAGTGGGTAAGCCCACTACCTCGGGGACTGGTGACAGTGCCCCAGCCTGAGATGGTGCACTTCTGGCCAGCTTGGGGGCAGTGATCTGTCAGGTTGATGGGCTTCACTTTGGGCCCCAGGGATGCCCGGCCACGTAGTCGAAGCAGCATCAGATCATGGCTGTTGTCCTTGCTGCTGCTGTCGTAGCAGGGGTGTGGGAACGACCGAAGCACAGACATTTCTTGCTCCGGCCCGTCCTTACTCTGCAGGCTGTGGTCTCCCAGGCGTACTGTATACTTCCTGTAATTGCGGGGGTAGTTTGGGACCCTGGCCGGAGTCCAAGCCCCCAGCCTCCACCTCCCTCAGACCCAGGAGTCCTTAGTGCTCTCCCTCCTGAGTCGAAACCCCAGCTCCCTCTTTCCTCTGGCCCCGGCCGACCTCCGCCCCAGCCATCCACTCACGGTTTTTTACAATGGGCAGCTGTGAGGACCCAGTTGGCACCTACAAGGACACCTCCGCAGAGCAGTTGCTCCCCTTGGAACAGGGCCGTCTGCCAAGGCTGCGAATGGGGCTTGCACTCCTGACCCCCCAGCACCTTGCTCATCTGTGCCCTGGCGCGTCCTGCAGCGGGAGGGAGAGTGTTGGACCGCCGCCCTCTTGGGCAGTGGCAGGGCCGGGAAGACCACCGTGGGTTCAAATGGACACACCACACGTTCTCCGCATGCACCTTCATGCAGGAAGCCCCGGCGTACACTCGTTTGGGTCCATGAATCATCATACGCCAGACACACCCGAGGACACTTCCACATGCTTCCACATGGACATCTGTGCCCTCCAGCCAGCAGCCCCCGCAGGCTTTGTGTCCTCACAATTTGCAGGACAACTGAACCCACTCCTCCCTGCTGCCACCTGCTCCTTGCCTCCACTTACAGCACACACTTCTCATCTCTGCCATGCAGCACCACCCCCACATAACCACCATGGCCTTCCAAGGCTCCCAGCACCACCGCTGCCTCCAGACACCCCCTCTCAGAGCCCCCCCACCCCCTCACCTGTCCAGGCTTCCCACAGCAAGAACAAAAACAGCCAAGTCATCACTGCACCAGGTGGGGGGCGTCCCATGGTGAGAGGGAGAGGATGGGGCTGAGAGACAGGAAAGAGGAGCTTGAAGTCCCAGGTCCAGATTCGCGGACTGGGGAGGGAACAGAGAGCACCCGGAGCTGTTCTGGGTTCTGCAGGAGCAAGGAGCTGGGGGCCCAAATTCTTGAGTCTGAGGAAGAAGGGGACAGGGACCCCAGATCCCTGAACCTAAGGGGGGCTGGGGGACTGGAGTGCTACCTTCCAAGGGAGGAGGGAGTTAGGGTCCTGGACTTTGGGTCTGAGGGGACAGGGAGCTAGGAGCTGGGACTCCTAAGTCTTGGGCAGGAGGAAGCTGGGTTCTGGGTTGCTGCATCTTTAGGGAGGAGAGGGTTCGAGGCCGGGGCCTGGAACTTAGAGAAGGAGGGGTCCCCGGGCCTGAGGCCTGTGTCCCAGTAGCTCTGCACCTCACCTGCGGGAATCCAGGGGGCGGGGTCACCTACTGATTCGGACCCAATGGAAGAGGCCCCAGTACTTCGGTTCTCTCTGCCCAGTACACGATTCTGGAGCCTTTTAACTGGGAATCCCCGCCTCCCGCTCCTCCTCCTGCACCAGGGCCCGGAGCACCTGGGAACTGGAACCCTGGGTGTGAGTGAGGAGGTGTGGAGGGGCTGAACGTGAAATCTCGAGGAAGGAGGGGCTGGAATCTCGGATTCCTGGGGCTCAGTGCTGTGACTCCAGGTTCTGAAAGAGCTGGGGGCCCCTGGGTCTGAGGGAGGAGGGGCTGGGGACATGGACCCCTGGGTCTGAGGTGAGAGGGCTGGGGGGGGGACCCCCTGGCGCGTCTGAGGGGAGGAGGGGCTGGGCCTGGGGACCCTGGGTCTGGAGGGAGGAGGCTGGGAGGAAGCGGGACCCCTAGGTGTGAGGGAGGAGGCGGCTGCCCGGTCGATCCTGGAGTACCTGGGTCTGAGGGAGGAGGGGCTGGGGCTGGACCCTGGGTCTGAGGGAGGAGGGGCTGGGGACAGGACCTCTGGGTCTGAGGGAGGAGGGGCTGGGGGCGCGGACCCCTGGGTGTGAGGAAGGAGGGGCTGGGGGCGCGGACCCCTGGGTGTGAGGGAGGAGGGGCTGGGGACATGGACCCCTGGGTCTGGGGGGAGGGGGACTGGGAGCTGATATTGCTGGGACTGAGGTAGGGTTAGGGTTAGGGCTGGATTCTTTAAGTCCTTTTGGAAGCAGGGGCTTGGAGCCTGATTTTTGTGGGAGGAGGGGGCTGCTGCCAGCAACCTGAATGGAAGAAAGGCGGATCTTTTTGGTTCCAACACCTGAGGGTGGATCGGGCGCCGCCCGCTGCCCCCTGAAAGGTCGGGGATCTGGGAAGGCAGGTTTGGGAGGCACCGTGACCTGGTTTCCCCTTCCCCTGGAGGCGGCGGGACCAGCCCAAGAAGAACCCGGGAGCCTTGCTGCAATGGGGCTGGTGGAGAGAGACTTGAGGCAGGACTTCCTGGAGGGTCAAGGGGGAATTGCAGCGCGGTGGCGGGTCCCTCGTCTGCCGGTCCCCGCCCAGCCATTGCCCTCCTTTCGTCCCGCAGCGCAGGCAGAAGCAAGGCGCAGCTCCCCGCGTTTATTGTAAAACCATCCATCGGCTCTCACGGGATCGAGTCCCTCCCCCGACTCCTCCCAGTCGGGTCCCCGTCAGGATTCAAACTCAGGTCACGCCCAGGGCGGGGCCACGAGTGGCGGAACCCGACTCGGCCAGGTCCCACGTGGGCGGAGCGATGGCGCCCCTGACATCGTAGGGGGCGGGGCCTCCGACAGAGGGGCGGGGCCGCGAGGGGTGGAGTCCAGGGGGGAAGCCCCACTGGGCGAAGTTCCGAGGGGCGGAGCCACAGCTCGCGCTCTTCCGGGAGGGCGGTGCCAATTCTTGGTGACGTCATAGAGATGGGGCCACGCGGGGCGAAGGCGCGTCCGGGTTCCGCCGGAGGGGGCGTGGCTCCGTCGCGGTTGACCTCGCACGTCCGGAGGGCAGCTGGAGGTCAAGCCCTGCAGCAGCACCCCCCCTCGCGCCCGCCCTCCTGTCTTGGTCGTCGGAGGCTTGAAGGCTCAGTTGTCCTGCATGGTTTTTCGGATCCAGTCCCCGTAGTGGCACACGCTGGTGTAGACCGCGGGGCGCCGGGGCCTGGAGCAGGGCTCCGAACCCCCGGACACCACGCCCGCCAGCGTTCCATCGCAGACCAGGGGGCCCCCAGAGTCACCCTGTGCGCGGAGAAGAGCAGAGGAACCGCTGGGCCGGTCTGTTCGTGGCGCCTACACTGGCCACTTCCTCCTTCCCAGGAGGGCCCCAGCCCCCGCCTCCCCAGCACGCGGGAGTCGGGGCCCCAGCCCCTCCTGCTCTAGATCCGGGAGTCTGGGCCCCCAGCCCTCTTCCCTTTTACGCGGGAGTCCGGGCCCCGGCCCCATTCTCTCCCAGGAGGTAGGTGTCCCATTCCCTCCTCACTTTGACCCAGGAAGCCTGGGCCCCCACCCCTCTCCTCCCCAAGACCCAGAAAAATCAGCAGGGCCGCATGGTCTTCCCCAGAGTAGGAGCTCACCTGGCAGGAGCCTCGGCCACCCTCCCACAGGCCTGCGCAGAGCATGCTGTCCGAGATGTGGCCCGGATATGCCCAGCGACAGAGTCTGTTCTCCAGGATGCTGATGTTGGCACACTGCAACGTCACTGGGTACTGCGCTGTTGAGGAAGGAGATCCACAAGGGCATCAGCAATTGTCCCCATCGCACTCAGCCGCCGCCCCCCTGAGCCTTCCCTGTAGCCTTTCCAAAGGCAGACCCAGGGAGCGAAATCACAGGACTCTCAAAGATAGAGACAAGAGACAGAATCGTAGCATGCAAGAGAAGCAGATGGAAATGCGGAGGGGAGAGGATCAAAAGAGAGAAAGAGAAACAGAAAGATGCAGAGAGCAAGACAAGAAGAGATACACGCATAATGCAACGCGGAGAAAGACAGAGACCGTAAAGGGAGACAGAGACCTCTTAAGGGGAAAGAGATTCGAATAGGAGGTAATAAAAAAATAGGGAGAAACAGACCTATAGACATCAAGGTGGGGAAACGCAGTGAGATAAAGGGGAAGAGACATTTGCAGGAAGGTGGTCACTGGCAGAGACAGAGACAGAGAGACACTAGATATAGGCAGAGATAGCTACCACGTAGCCAATAGAGATGTGAATACAGACATACATTTGTGCATCTGTATGAGATACTGGCGCAAACTCCGATGTATCAAGGGAATTGATAAGTAAATAGAAGTGGGGGAGGGGACTGGACAGGGAGGCACCAGCTGGTGGGGTCACCTGGAGCGGACCAGAGAACTCACCTTGTCTGGAGTGGGCAGCCTCTAACTGCCCACTGGCGCTGTCCAGTGGTTGCTATTTGGGGAATGTAGGTAAGTGAGTTCTTTGAATTTTTCAAGTGAATCCAGAAACCTGACTTTTATGTAAAACCTCCCAGGTTTTGTCTATTGGCAGCAACAAATTCAGATTGTTTTTTCAAGGCTAATGGGTGACCAATTTGTGCCTCTCAGAGACATAGGCCTTATTTAGATTCTAAGATGTGTGTATTTTCGCATTTAAACATATCTGAAATCAAAATGTGTCTTCCAGTAAATGGTGTCATACCATCAATGCAACCTTTTTTTTTTTTTCTCTCATTCTTAGTGATTCATAAAATAATGATGCAGGCCAGGTGTGGTGGCTCATGCCTGTGATCCTAGCACTCTGGGTGGCCGAGGTGGGAGGATCATTTTAACCTCAGGAGTTCCAGCCTGAGCAAGAGCGAGACCCTGTCTCTACTAAAAATAGAAAGAAATTAGCTGAACAACTAAAAAACAAATTATATATATATATAATTAGCCAGGCATGGTGGCACATGCCTGTAGTCCCAGCTACTTGAGAGGCTGAGGCAGGAGGATCGCTTGAGTGAGTTTGAGGTGGGTGTGAGCTAGCCCTGGGAAAAAAGTGAGACTCTGTTTCAAAAGAAAATAAAATAATGACGCAGCTTAAAATTTCTAGCATCTTAGATTTGATGAGATATACTGATTGGTAGAGACCGAGAGACAGACAGACAGTGGGGAGGAGAGGAGTCAGACCCTGGGCATGAGCCATGGATGAAGTCGTACCCTTGGGGCTGGACACGGCACCCCAGCCTGAGATGAGGCACTGCGTGCCTGGGGAGACGCAGGTCTGGCTGAGATTGAGGGGCTGCACAGCGGAACTCAGCTGTGCCTGCCTGGGCAGACGGATTAGCATGATGTCATCATTGTGGTCATTGGCGCTGAGGTCACTGTTGAACCCAGGGTGGGGGAAGAAGTCTGTGGCCCGGAACAGCTGCTCTGGACCCTCCCATTTCCAGAGGTGGTGCTCTCCAAGGCGGACCCACAGATACCTGCTGGGACACGCCTCAGAGGTCAAGTTGGGGGAAGGTAGGGGTCTTCTCAGCCCCAGCCCTCTTTCTCTGTCCATCAGGGTGCTGAGTGACCCTCTGCAAGCTACACACCCTCTCTGTGCCTCCATCATCTGTGTCTAACCCAGAGTATTGTGTGATCTTAAGCAGGGCACACACCCTCTTTGGGTCCCTGCTCCCCACTCTGACTTTTTGTCTGCCCCTTCCATTGTTGTAACCCTCCCCCGAAAGCTTGCATCCCCTCCTAGCCCTGTGCTGAGTGAGCTACCTTCCTCCCTACCCCACCTGGATCCTTGATGGTGACCTGGGTCCCCTGGAACGGTGTGGGCACTTGGGGGCCCCACCTACTACACAATAACAGCCCCACCCCCATTCCCACAGGTCTGGTGGCTTCTTCGGGAGTGGCTCTGTGTGTGTGTTTGGTGTGTGTGTATGGGGGGGATGGAGTATGGAAAATCCCCAGACTGGGGTCATCTATGGCTTCAGGCTTTTCCTACCTATCGTAGCCCTCACCTTTAGATGCACTTTGCCCTGAGGTCCAGGCTGAAGCCCTCTCAGGGCAGTCCCAGCCCACTTGTTCTGCTCCTGGTCCATGTCCGAGACAGCTGGGGCCCCAGCCCCAGCCTCTGACCTCCGACATTAGGCAGCAGGCTGATGACTGAGAATTCAATGTCTGGGGAGTATGAGGGTTCCAGCTCTGTCCCTCTCTGTCACCCTAATTGTCTTGGCTCTGGGTTTGGGAAGGTAGCCCCTGTCTCTGCCTCTGAATCTCTTCTGACTTCTTATCTCTGCAACTCTCTTGCTTTGTCTTTGTGCTAAAATCTAAACACTGTTCTCCCAGCCTGAGTTAAAAGAGGTCCCATCATGGAGTGATGCATGATGGGAAATTCCTACAAAACATCTCATACCAGCACCTGTGCTTTATTCCCGGAGGGCAGAGTATTAGAGCAGTGTGGATGGTCACTTTTCAAGATTAATGTAGAGAAGATTCCTGTATCAGGTAGGTTCTAGGATACTGTTAGAATGCCTAGAATCTAAGATTCTAGAATTCTCAGATTCTGATACCCTATTATCCATGATTCTAGAACTCTATGAGGCTGAAGTTCTAGATTCTTATGAATCTAAGACTCCAACATTCTAGATTTTGCTGGATCAAAGAAAACTCTCAGGATTTTTAAATGATTTCAATTAAGTCTAAGACTTAAAGAACCTAGAATTCTAATACTCTGGGATGAGAAAATTAGAATTTTATCATTCTAGTATTCTGTACATCTATAATTTTAGAAATTTGAGAGTCTGGGATTAAAATAGTTTAAGACTCTAGCATTCTCTGAATCACAGTATTCTAGGATACTGTGAGTTTCAATATTCAACAAACCTAGAGAACTCTGAATCTAAGATCCTAGGATTGCACTAGCCAATACTGCTACTGGGCACTTGAAATGTAGCTAGTCCAAATTGAGATATGCTCTATGTATAAAATATAAGCCAGATTTCAAATGCTTAGCATCAAAAAAAAGTAAACATCATTCATAGTTATTTAAAAATTGATCACATGTTAAAATAACAATATTGTGAGTATGTCAAGTTAAATCCATTATTAAAATGTAATTTACCTGTTTCTTTTTTTTAATGTCTCTGCTAGAAAATGCAAACTACACATGTAGCTGGTGTATGATTCTATTGGGCAGTGCTGATCTAGATTGCTAAGATTCTAATAGTCTGAATCTATGATTCTAGAATTTGCTGAGGCTACTGGAAAATTTCATGGATTCAAGATTTTAGGATTCTAGATTCCAGATGTCTCTGGGTCAGTCTAGGATTCTAAGAGTCCAAGTTTCAAGTCTTAGTCTCTTAGAACCGGATATGATAGCACTCTAGAATTTTAGGATTTGGGAAGCTACCCTTTGAAATCCTAAGCGTGGAACTTTAGGTATAAGAAATAGAGGCTCCGCGTACTTCCTGCCTATGGCCTCCCTCACCCTCTCCTGACCCCAACCCGCCCCTCCTTTGCGTGGCCAGTCCCACAGCCCCAGTCACTCACGGCTTGCGGCAGTGGGCAGCTGTGAGCAGCCAGCGGTCACTGATGAGGGTCGCCCCGCAGAAGAGCCGGGTGAGGTAGAAGAGGCCAGCCTGCCAAGGCTGCGAGTTGGGGCGGCATTCCTGGGCCCCGATGGCGCGTATGCCTGCCCAGCAGTGCCCTGGGGTGGGGTGAGAGGCAACTGGGTGAGCGAGGAGCAGGCTGGGAGGGCCGGGAGAGGGTGCTCAGCAGCCTGGAGGACAGGGGGGCAGAGGCCCAGGGCAAGGGGAAGAGCCAGAGGGGCGGGCAGAGCAGCCATGGGGGCGGCAGCGGGGTGGATAGCAGGAACCTCACCTGCCAGGAGAGAGAGCAGAGCACAGATGAATCCCAGCTTCATGACCTTGGGCACTTAGGTCCTCGAGTGTGCCGGGCGCTTCTTTATGGTAAGCCATGCCATCTCCTTCCTCCTCCCTGGGGCCACCCCCATGATTAATCAGAGTTGGGAAACATCCCTGGGGGAGGGGGAAGCCCTGGAGCTGTGACAGGGGCCTTGGGAGGGGGGTGGGTGCCGGGGTCCCCCTGTTCGGATGAGCTGGCGGCTTGCTAGGCCAGAGCTGGCTTGACTGAGTGCGGGTGGGGCGCTGGGGTGTGGAGAGGCTGTGGGCGCCGCAGCCCACTCTGGGGTCTTCAGAGTGGGGAGCCCCCATTCCCCAGGACCTCGGGCTCCAGGCTACAGAATCTTTTGTGTCCTGCAGAAGGAGGAAGATGTTTAAGGCCGAGCTCCTGGCGTGGAAGCAAGTTTATTTTGGATAAAGCGTGCTGGGACCAACCTCCCCGGGCAGGTGTGCAGGGGCCTTGCCCAGAAAGCAGGCTAGGTGCACAGAAAGACCCAGGGTGAGAGGAGGAGGAAGAGGAGGAGGAGGAAGAACAGGAGAAGGCTTGAGAGAAACCCAGATGGAGAGAGGTAGAAACCACAAAGAAAGCTGCACAGGTCTGCACACTGCGCAGACCCTTCCCTGCCCTGGGGATTTGGGCCTCTTCCCACAAGGACAAAGGCTTCTCCTAGAATGTTGAGAAATCTGGTCCCATCTGGATGCAGCCACTCTTGTCAAAACCTGCCCCCACAGCTCCACCACCCCAAGGACCCAGGTGCCCAACATGCCTGGAACCAAGCGCCCTACCGTCTCTCTCAACACCTCCTGACTTTGCTAAATCCTAAGAATATTGGCTATGTTTTCCCCACCCATCCCCCATGACACTGTCCTCGCCATCGCCCGGTCCTCCCTCTCCACCTCCCCTCCCGAGGTGGGCAGCCTCTGGGGAGCCCCCATCTGACTCATCTCTGTGTCCCAGCATCACCCCGTCCTGGGCTGGGCTCACAGGAGTCCTCAGGAGATGTTCATTGAATGAGTGAATGTCTTTCTCCATATCTTTCTTTTCCTGGTGAACTCCTACTCATCCTTCAAAGACTCAACTTCAGAGCTCCCTCCGCCAGGAAGCATCCTGTGATTTCTCCAGGCAGAGTCAATCTTCGGCTCCCCGGGGGCACTCACAACCAATTCCACTTCCGGCTGACCCTCGGCCTGATTATGAAGCTGGGGTGGGGCTCCCCTTGAATGCTCTCTCGCTATGGTGTCATGATTTGGAACATGGACTCTAGAACTGAACCACGTGTGTCCACATCTGAACGCCGGCAGTGATTAGCGTGTGACTTTGGGCAAGTCACCGGATCTAAGTTGCTCCGCCTGTTAAGCAGCAGTGATAACCAGGGTTGCGGGGGGGTCAAGTGAACGAACATACAGGAAGCACTTACAACAGTTTCTAACACATGGGAAGCACGCAGTAAATATGTCTGTCCACCTCCTATGGCGTCCTGCACTGCCTTCATCACCGTACATCTCACCCCTGCCTGCAATTGTCTTATTCCTTCTCTAGACCTGGAAGTCCTTGAGACCCCAGACTGGATACTCACTATGTGCTAAGTGCCATGCTAACTGCTTTTTTTTTTTTTTTTTAAGTCAGAGTCTCACTCTGTTGCCCAGGCTAGAGTGCCATGGCATCAGCCTAGCTCACAGCAACCTCAAACTCCTGGGCTCAAGCCATCCTCCTGCCTCAGCCTCCCGAGTAGCTGGGACTACAGGCACGCGCCACCATGCCCGGCTAATTTTTTCTGTATATCTTTAGTTGGGCAATTAATTTCTTTCTATTTTTAGTAGAGTCTGGGTCTCGCTCTTGCTCAGGCTGGTTTCAAACCCCTGACCTTGAGCGATCTGCCCACCTCGGCCTCCCAGAGTGCTCATGTCTGGAGTTAGGTAAAGCTTTCATATATATTATCTTATTTAATTCTCGCAAACTAAGAGTGGAATTGAAACATTCCTAATACAAAGAAATGATAAATGCCTGAGATGATGGATACCTCAATTATTCTGATTTGATTATTTCACATTGTATGCCTGTATCAAAACATCACATGTACCCTATAAATATATACAACGATTATGTATCCATAATAATTAAAAACAATTTTTTTTTGAGACAAGAGTCTTGCTCTGTTGCCCTGGGTAGAGTACAGTGGTGTAGCTCACAGCAACCTCCAACTCCTGGGCTCAAGCGCTCCTCTTGCCTCAGCCTCCAGAGTGGCTGGGACTACAGGCATGCACCACGATGCCCAGCTAATTTTTCTATTTTTAGCAAGAGAAAGACAGTGTCTTTCTCTTGCTCAGGCTGGTCTTGAACTCCTGACCTCAAATGATCCTCCCGCCTTGGCCTCCCAGAGTGCTAGGATTACAGGCATGAGCCACCTCACCTGGCCCTAAAAATAAAAAACTTTTAAAAAATCATCATGAGAGTCTAATCAAGCAGGTACCTCCATTTCACAGAGTGAAAAATTGGGGTAGAGAGAACATCAAAGTAATTTCCTCAGGATCACACAGCAAGTGATTGAAATGCATTTCCTTCTCTGGGATAAGTAGGTGAACTCCTATTTATCCTTTATAACCCCCATACAAATGTCTCCGCCTGTGAGAAGCCTTCCCTGACCCCTTCAGGCAAAGTCCTTGGACCTACCATGGTACACCCTGTGCCTCCTTCTGTTTCAGTAGTGACCCATTTGTGTCACTTGTTCTCTCAGCAATGTGTTGGCTGGTTCTGAGGGCCAGGCACTGTAACAGGTGCTCAGAAAAGCACAGTGAACAAATATCTGCATCTTTGCCCTCATGGGCTTTGTGGGGAGAAGGGACACAGGCCATTATCAAGTAAACAGACACATGAGATAATTCCAGCTCTAGCGAGTGCTATGAAAAAAAAAAATAAACAGAGCAACAGGATTGGTGACCAAAAGGGGACCCTTTTAGCCAGGGCAATCCAGGAAGGCCTCCACGAGGAGGTGACTTTTTGAGCAGAGACCAGAATGACAAGAATGTAAGGCTTGCCTGTCTTCCTGACCTGACTAGCAGCTCCTTGAGGGTAGGGCCTGGTCTGATTCATCTTTAGGACGTGGGTCAATAAACATTGTGGAGTGACTAAAAGAACGGGTCAAAGGCATTGCCTTGAAAACTGAATCCAGTTTGCAAGTTCCCACCTACCTTGCTTCTGATCATTGGGTGACAAAGCCAGCTGATACAGCTGACTGACATTTCCTGGGCGTGCTGATGGGGTGGAATGTGGAAGAGGCCGTGGAAGAGTGTGTACACCAGACTCTGCGCTCGGACCTTGCACGCCAGTCTCCTGTGGGTTCTGCAGGGCCCACGGCGGGTACCACTGTGTGTGTCCCCCTCCCCCACACTCAGCACCGGGCCTCACACGCGACAGATGCTCATTAAGTCGATGTTAGAAAGGGAAACATGGCCCAGCCCGATGGCTCACGCCTGTAATCCTAGCACTCTGGGAGGCCGAGGCGGGAGGATCGCTCAAGGTCAGGAGTTTGAAACCAGCCTGAGCAAGAGCGAGACCCTGTCTCTACTAAAAATAGAAAGAAATTAATTGGCCAACTAAAAAAATATAGAAAAAATTAGCCAGGCATGGTGGCGCATGCCTGTAGTCCCAGCTACTCGGGAGGCTGAGGCAGGAGGATGGCTTGAGCCCAGGAGTTTGAGGTTGCTGTGAGCTAGGCTGATGCCACAGCACTCTAGCCAGAGCAACGGAGTGAGACGCTGTCTCAAAAAAGAAAAGAAAAAAAAAGGGAAACAAAAGCAACCCATGCTTTATGGAAAATTCCTGCTGTTCCTGTGTTCAGCTTAGGTTACTGCTCCGAAGTCCCGGCTAAGCTGAGACATTGAGACACAAACACCCATCGGCTTTGCATGGATTCTGCGTGTAGACCCCACCACCCTCCCAGGATGGACATATTTACACAGAGACAATTTCGGGGAGAGGAAAACTACCCTTCCTCCCAAGTTTTCAGCATAAAAATCTCAAAGCTGATTAATAACAAACTAAAGATTTTCCCCTACATTTCAGAGGGGGGCTTCTTGGCACAAATTCAGCACTTGAGATGGCAAGAGTCCCCTACCCGCTCAGCCCTCTGGTCTTGGAGGGTGGGATGGGTGCAAGGTGACTCGCAGTGTCCCCATGGTGACTCGCAGTGTCCCCATGAAGGCAGAGAAGGTACCAGGTGACTCAGAGCCAGCTTAGCTCTGCTGGGACAGGAGAAACCACTGTTGGGTGGACCCAAAAATAGGAAACAGTGGGAGGGGTGAAGGAAGTGGTGAAAAGGTATTTCCTGGGGCTTGGAAGGAAGCTCGGGGAGGGGGCGACGTGATTCTCCCATCAGTCCTGGCAGATGGGCATGAGGGGTGGGATTGAGGGCTACCTGGTGCACTTCTGTCCTGGACACGTGCTGTCACCAAAATGTGGTCAGATCATGACAACAGGTAACATTTATTCAGAGCTCACCACCCACTGTTAAGGCTTACATGATAATTACCGTAAAGATTTACACACACACACGTTATACCACAGCCTCACAACACGTCTAAGAGGTAGGCACTTCATTGTCCCCACTTTGCAGGTGAGGAAACTGAGGCACAAAGAGGGTACTTGGCTTGCCCAAGGTCACACAGCAGGGAGCGGTAGAGGAAGCCAGGTTGAGTGGCTCCGATAACATCTCTCAGAGACGGGGTGACCACCGGCTTCCTCGCTTCTCTTGAATGAAACTGTGTCACCACGTGCTGCACCTTGGCTTCAGTGTGGGCCAGAGAATGGGAAGGGGGGGGGACGCGGGGGAAGAGAGGTGGTAACAGGTGTGATGGCGGCAGAGGTCCGGGCACCGCAGGGTGGGAGGACAGTCGGTGAAGGGATCTCTGGCCGCCTGGATCAGCTGGAGCGTATGGTTTTCTTGATCCAGGCGCTGTATTTGCAGATCTGGGTGTAGACGGCCGGGTGCTGTGCAGATCCGCAAGGGTAAGCTCCCCACGAGAGGATGCCCTGGAGGGTCTTGTCACAGACCAGGGGGCCACCCGAGTCACTCTGGGGGTGGGAGGAAGAAGAGATCAAATAAATATGCCAACGTGAGAGCTGCCACTGTGGGGTCCGGGGCAGTGACAGGGAAGGGGGGTTGGGGGGGCTGGAATAAAGATGAGGTTGGGGTGGAATTAGGTATGAAGTGGGAGGGTGGGGGTGGGAATGGAGGGGGACTTGGGGTTCTGGGTTGGGCTGGGGGTGAGGATGGAGAGGCAGTGAGATTGGAGTTCACGCTAGGTGAGGGGCGGAGCCGACCTGCGCATAGGGCTGGGGAGGGTTAGGGACGGCTTGAGGGTGGGAACGGGGCTGAGGACGGGGAAGAGGAGGGGGATGGCTTGAGGGTGGGCTTGGGAATGGAGTTGGGGGGCAGGGCCAGGGGCGGCTCTTTTCCCATAACCTTCCTGCCTTCCCTCCCATGAGTCAGAGCCCAGCCCGGCCAGACCCTACCTGGCAAGGGTCCTGGCCCTGGTCCAGCCCCGCACATATCATGTTGTTGGTGACAACGCCGGGGTAGAAGACCTCACATGCTTTAGGGCTCAGGAGAGTGACCCTGGAGCAGGTCAGGCCCCTGTTGTACTTCACTGGTGGGAGAAAAGGCCAGGTAATCCCCGGGTCCAGACCCCAATCCTTTGGGACCCAGCAGTCCAGCGACAAAACCGTTCTTAGCTGGGCCCCAGGCCCCCAGCCCCTCGGGTCTGGGCCTCCAGCCCGACTCCCCCTGAGATACAGGCTTCAGGGCTCCCCGCTCTTGCCTCTCCGGGTGGCCGTGGTGCCCCAGCCAGCCACCTGGCACTGGTCTCCGGGCTGGGCACAGCGGTAGGGCAGCTGCAGGGTCTGGACGCCGGGCCCCAGCACAGCGGACCTGGCCAGCTTCAGCAGCATGAGGTCGTGCTCGTCAGTCCGCCTTGGCAGGAGGGGGCCCGAGCCCTGGAGGTACTTGGGGTGGACAACAGCCTGAACCGCCCGGCGGAGCTGCTCGCCCTGGAGAAGCAGCAGGTGGTCATCCCCAACTCGAGCCCACAGTGGCCTGGGGGAGGGAAGAGCCACATGGGAGTAAAACCTTCCTAGGGGCTGGGCCTGGACTCTGAGTCCATGGGGAGGAGGGGACAGGCAGTGGGAGGGGACAGACACCTGGGTGCTGAGACAGGAAGGGCGTGAGGGAAGAGGGGGTTGGGGGAGAGGGGGGCTGCGGGCCCCTGGGTTCTGCAGGAATTGAGGGCTGGGGACCTGGACTCCTGGGAAAGTCTACCTTATGTTTTCTCTGTGATGACACCCAGCCCTTCTCCCTTCAATGGGGACTCCTAGAGTGAACTTTTGCCTTTAGTTCTAAATTCCTGACCACACCAGACCCTGACTTCTGTCTGTTGCATACAACTAGGGACTCCTCCATAGAACCCTTGGAGAATCAATCAGCCCACAGGAGTGATGGGCCCAGGAATGAAATACAGGGAAGGACCACACCGCCCCCTGGCGGCCACAGCACAAAGCCCCGTCTCTCCTCCTACAGGAAGCCCTCCAGGGCTGACCCCATCGGGAGCTGCGAGAGTTCCAAGGGCGCCGGTCCTCCCCGCCCCTCCCCGGAGGCTGCCTTCTCGGCCCCCTCCGCGGATTCCTCGAGGACCGCTTCCTACCTGTTGTTCCAGCAGTGCGCGGCCGTAAGCACCCAGTCCTGGTCCACCAGGACGCCCGCGCAGTGGAACGAGAGGCCGTTGAAGAGGGAGACCTGCCAGGGCTGCGAGCCGCGCGGGCACGGGGCGCCGGAGGCTGCGGGGTCCGAGCCGGTGTCGTTTCCCGGGAGCAGCACGGCCTCCGCGTCTGGACAACGAAAGGGGGACGGGGATCAGGCAGGCAGGGCGAGGGCTGGGTCTGAGGTCGGGCTGGGCCGCGGGGCCGGGCTGCGGGTGGGAGGGGGCGGGGAGGGGTGTCTCGCGCGGACCGAATGGAAGTGGGAGGGGAACGGCGGGGAAGTGGCCGGAGGCGGCGATCGGGTGCGGAACAGGGCGGGGACGAGACGTAGGTTTGGGAGAAGAGGGGGTGGGAACACAAAGCGGATGGAAGGGCGCGAGGGCAAAAGCCCTAAGGCGCGACTTGGGGTAGGACTGCGCGGGGTGGGCAGGGCGGGGCCGGACCGGCGCGGAGAAGGAGGGGCGAGGAGCGGAGCGCAGAGCCGTCCGGTGGCACCGAGGGGACGGGCCAGGGTGGGGCGGGACGGCCAGGGGCCGCGCGGGAAGAGCCGCTCGGCTGACTGGGGGGCGGGCCCCGCTCCGTGTCGCTGGGGTCCCACCCCGAGGAGAAGCGCGGGGGCCGGCGATTAGAGCGCGCTCTCCGCCGGCGCCTGTCGCCGCCCCTGTCCCCCGCCTCACCGCAGAGTTGCGCCAACAGCAGCGCCGGCAGCAGCTTCGCCAGGGCCCAAGCGCCAGAGGCGGCGGAGAGGTGGCGGTGCGGGGCTCTCATGGCCGGGACCTGGGCTGGGGGGCAGGGGGCGGGTTAAAACAGATGTCCTTTCAGAGCCCCCCACCTGGCTGTGCCCATCTGCCCAGCCTGGGCCACCCCAGCCCTCGGGGACCCGTTTGACCTGCAGCCGACAACCGCAGGGGCGGGCAGAGGGTTGGTTTGGGCTGGAACAGCGGTAATGGGCGCAATTACCCTAATGACGCCCCTCGTGGCGTCCTCCCCTCCTCCCGACGCCTCTCGGGCCCGGCCCCCCCACCTCGGCCCGCCACGCCGAGCGCGGCGTTTCACCCTCCTTCGCACGTGGAGTAGGGATCGAGGCTCGAAGCCAGTAGGAGCCTCTTCCAAACCCTCACAGCCGGGGACTTCCACATCCCGCAGGTAGGGAAATCGAGGCTCAAACAGGGCCGCACCCATCCTCTCGCAATCCGCCCCAACGAGGGTGGGGTGCGCCCCGCTTCACCTGGGAGTCGCCGATCGGAAGGAGGGAGGGGACCCCGAAGTGCCTCTGCCCTGCCGTGTGGGCCGCCAGGATCCTCTGCCCGGGGACCCCAGGCCGGACCTTCCCTTTTAACCCCGGAGAAGCTTCCCCACCCTCCCCCCAGGGGTTCACTCCCTCCCTTTCCCTCTGCCTAATTAGGCTGTGGGTGGGGCTGGCACCTGACCCGGGTCCCAGATTCCTGCTCTGGGAGAGGCCCTGGAATACAGGCTTCTCTCTGTACCTGAAACACCATTTTGGGGCTGGATTTCGTGGGGATTCCCCGGGTCCCTTTTCCAAGACTTCCTAGGTGGTGAGAGAAGGTACATGTCCCCAGGGAGCCTGGGGGTGGCGGGACGATGGGTGATTGTTATCGTGTCGGAGGGAGAGGAAACAAACGGGAAATGCATACCTGGAGTGACTACACCAGAGAAGCCGGAATGCGGAAGAGGGAAGGGAGGCAGGGAGATAAGGGAGACTGAGTAGGAGAGACAGAGACAGAGACTGCCTGGGAAAGGGAGGCCGGCTGACCAAGTCGGGGGCGGGTGCCAAGGCCAAGACATACAGAGACAGGAAAGGAGGGAAACGGGGAGACCGGAGCGGGAGGCAGGAATCTGGGAACCCGTCAGGTGCCAGCCCCACCCACAGTTTAATTAGGCAGAGGGAAAGGGAGGGAGTGAATTCCTGGAGGGAGGGTGGGGAAACTTCTTCAGGGTTAAAAGGGAAGGTCGGCTAGGGGTCCCTGGGCTGAGCCACCTGCTGCTGTGTGGCTGGAGCCCAGCCCACCGCTGTAGCAGTGGGCTACGAGTGTCCTGGTGACCAGCCCTGTGCATGTTGGGGTCTGTCGCCCCGCATCTTACCCACGTGTGGCCATCTGCCTGCCCCTGGGTGACACAGGGGCCCATGAATCACAGGAGGCCAAGGCTGAAAGGGGCATTGACTCTGCCTCTGCCAACTCCCTCATTTTAGGTGGAGAATGGGAGGCTCAGAGAAGGAAGTGACTCATAGGAAGTCACACAGCAAGTCCACCTAAAAACCGGGAGGCCCGAGTTCCAGCTCTGGGCTCTTGCTCCTCACTCTGACAGCTCCCCTGCAAGGTGAGTGGGACGCCAGGAAAGGTCCTGAGTTCTGGGCTATTTGAGGGGCATCTTCTGTCGAAGTTGTCAAGCTCAGTGCCGTCTAATCGAACTTTCTGAAAAGATGGAAATGTTCTATATGCGCTATCTAACACAGCAGCCACCAGCCACATGTGGCTACCCAGCGTTCCAACTGTCGCAAGTCAGACGGAGGAATTGCATTCCTGATTTCATGCAATTTTAATTTAAGTAGCCACTTGTGGCTAGTGGCTACTACATTGGCCAACATGGGTCTCCATCAACTAATTAATGGAGGTTGGAAAAAAAAAAAGATAGCTCCCTTTTGTTAGGTTTTAGTACGTGCAGGCTGATGTATTTACTTGCTGTGCTGCCACACTTTTGCATGCACAATTTTACAGATAATAAAACTGAACCTTAATCAGGGCAGTATCACTTGGTAGGTAAGACATCACCTTGCACCAGGTCCTTGCTCTTCTATTTCCTGGCTGTGTGACCATGAGCAAGTGACTTCGTTTCTCTGTGCCTCAGTTTCCTCATCTATAAAATGGGTACAATCATAGCACTGACCCCATAGGGTTTTGTGATAGATTTAAAAGCCGTTGGACCAGGGTCTGGCACAGAGCAAGCACTCAGCAGATTTGTTCATTCTGAAGGTGTTTATTTGACGGGTGCCAGGAACTGTCTTTGGGGCTGGGGATGGAATAGAACAAAAACAGCTGTCGTCATTCCCAGAGTCACAGGTTAGTCCAAGCCAGGATTTGAATCCAGATCTCAACAATTTCAAACCCCAAGTTGGTTATGAAGCTGCTGCAGCATCGCCTATAGTCAAGGCGGCCCAAAGAAAGTTGGTACTAGGGTCCTGGCATAGGGGCTCTTATTAGAATGAACAGGAACCAATCACCGGCTTGAGGGGGCTGGGCGGTGGTGAGCAGGTTCTCTCTAATTGTTCTTCATAGTCTCCTGGATCCAGTCCACGTATTTGCAGACTTTTGTGTAGACACCGGGCTTTTTGGTGACAGCACATGGGTCCTGGCCCCAGGAGATAATTCCCTGAAGAGAGTTGTTGCAGACCAGAGGGCCCCCGGAGTCACCCTGGGCACGGGAAAGAGAACAGCGGTCAGAGAAAAGGGCTGGGAGGAGGAGGGAAGGGGTGGGGGTGTGGCTGGAGCCCCCGGCCCTGCCCTCTGACCTGGCAGGAGTCCTTGCCCTCTTCCTTAACGCTGGCACACACCATGGTGTCCGTGATGTTGCCGGGGTAGGCGTCCTCGCACTCCCTGTGCTCAATGATGGAGATTTTGGCGCATCGCAGGCTGTGGGGCAGGAGCACTGCGGGGACAGCGCGAGGGGCCGTGAGGAGTGACGCCCTGGCCCTCCCCCTGCTGTGGCGCTGGCTGTGGCCCAGCACTGGGGAGAATCCCGGTCCTCACTCTCCCCGACCCATCCCTCTGCTTGTCACGACAGCAGCAGCAATGCTGTCGAGTAAATTCTTTGTGCTGGCTGCTCTAAATACTTTGTCTCTAATCCAGCCCTGGTAGGTGGGTGTGATTACTCTCATTTTACAGAGATGAGAGCTAGGGTTCAGAGAGGTGAAGCCACTTGCCGGAGGTCCTACAACCAGTGCGTTGTGGATCCGGATTGCTCATCCCATCTGTCTCCATCCCCCCCACCCCGACTTTTCCCACTCCTCCTTGCAGCTTACCCCACCCCCGACACCCCCAGGGAGCCTCCTCTTGCATCACTGTGAACCCCATCTCTGAAGTCCCTCCAGTCCCGTGTCCTGCCACTGTGGTGACCGTCCCCTCCCCCCTTCCCGCCCGAGGTCCCCTCTGGAGCCCCTACACTGGGGGCTGGACGTGGTGCCCCAGCCAGAAATGAGGCAGCGGGTGCCAGCGGTGACACAGCGTGAGGACAGGGTGAGGGGTCGCACGGCCCAGGTGATGGCGGCTGGTGCCGCCATTTTCACTAGCATGATGTCGTTGCGGTGGTCTTTGTTGGGGAGGCTGTCGTTGAAGCCCGGGTGTGGGAAGGACTCGGTGGCCGTCCGGGTCTGCTCACAGCCGTCCCTCCGCTGGAGGTTGTGCTCCCCCAGGTGAACTATGTAGTTGCTGAGGTGGAGAGACCGTGGTCAGAGCAGGAAAGGCAGAGAGAGACATGGGGGGGGGGAGAGGTGAGTGATACCTTCGGGGATGAAGGACCATGACCCTTCTTCCAACCTCACCCCCCATCTCCCACCAAAGCCCCCTCCCAGGCCGTAGCCCCAGCCTGGCCCCCAGCTCCATTCCGGACACCCTCCCAGTCCAAACACCCTCTGTCCCTCCACCTGCAGTCCCAGCTAGATCCCATCACCCCTGCTGGCACTGCCCCACTTCCTCTGGGTCCCCAAGCCCCTCTCTTCACTCTCTCCCCTCCCAGCCCCCGCCCAGCCCCGCCCCAGCCCCCGCACCCACGGCTTGCGGCAGTGGGCTGCTGTCAGGAGCCATCTGGGGGCGATGAGGGTGGCCCCGCAGAGCAACCGAGTCTTCTGGAACAGGGCCACCTGCCAGGGCTGGGAGTGCGGCTTGCACTCGTACCCCTTGATGATCCTGGTCTCTCCCCCTACGTGCCCTGCAGGAGTGGGGGCAAAGGAAGGGGCTCAGGACAAGAGGAGGTGGGCCAGCGGGACTCCTAGAAATGAGGGCTGGGTGGGGTCTGGGCCCCTGGCCTGGCGTCCTGCCAGGATGCACAGTGTGGATGGAAACACTCCCCACTGGCCCTGGCTGGTGAGTAGCCTCTGTCCTGAGCTCTCTGTGCGACCCCGCCCCCAGCTTCCCTGGCCCTCCCCTGGGACCCCCTAGACCCGCCTCCTCCTGGCATCTAAAGGGGCACCAGCAGGTTGTTACAGCTGCTGCCCATTCAGATGCCCCTTGGGTGGTGCTATGTTTTCAATGTCAGCCCCCTCCATTTCCAGACACAGGGTTGGGGGGACCCCCTGCACCCCACCCCCGCCCCCACCCTCCCCCACTGTACCTGTCACCAGAGCAAGCGTGATTAATCGCAGAATCGTCATGGCCTGGAGGGGGAAGGGCAGGCCCCAGGTTCCTCTGGGAACAGGAAGGGACACAGGGCCACATCACTGTTGGGGAGACTTGGGGGCTGGCTCTAGCTCCCGCTTCCTCCACCCCTGGCCGCTCCCCCAGGGAGAGACAAGGTTTGGGGAGTCACCTGGCTCTCACAGCACCCCGACCCCCCACCAAACACTTGAAACGAGTCTCTAGTATGGAGTGTGGCCTTGGGGAGGCCTGGTGGCCGGGCAAGCAGTTGGGTCAGCCGGGGACCTCCTAGGCACAGCCTTTCCCACCTGAGACCCGGCTAGGCCCCAGCAGCAGGTGGGGTGGAGGGACAAGGGGAGCTGGCCCCGCTGGTAACCGCCCCATTTCATTGTCCCAGTAGCAGGGGGCCCTTGAGGTCTGCCCAGGGTGGAGTAGGGGCTTGGAGAGACGGCCGCCGGACAGCGCTGGACAGAGCTGGGCGGGGCTGGCCAGGGGGAGGGCCGGTGCCCTCAGCTGCCCTGGCCGGCGGGGGTGGGAGCGGAGGGCTGGCTCAGTGGCCCCAAGCTGGGAGCAGAAGTTGCTGAGGTTGGGGGCGGCCAGTCTGAGGTGAGCGAGGCAGAGAGCTCCCACCCAAGCGGAGGAGGACAGAGCAGAGGGAGAAACAGGCGCTGAGGCAGAGGAGGACCGACGTCACGGAGGGCAGACACCTGGAGGGGCCTTCCCGTCCCTCCCGGACTCACGGGCTCTGGGGCTGGGGCTCTGGGGGCCGGCGGCGCGGTGGCGGCGGCAGGCTGGGCTGAAGCGAGAGGCAGCAGGCAGGCGGGCAGGGTGGGGGGTGGCCACGGCGGGCGGGCCGGGATGGCTGAACTCCAAGCCCTGCCTTATCACCCTGGGGGCGGGGTGTGTGTGGGGGCCCTCCCTGCCGGCAGCCCGGGCCTCAGAGGTGCTGCCCGCCCGCCTGTGTCACCTGCCCAAGCCCCTCTTGTCTGTGCCTCTGTACCTGTCTGTCTGCAACTTTCCCTTCCTTCCCGTCTCTCTGAATCCGTGTCTCTTTTTCTCTGTCATTCTCTGTCTTTCTGTAATTCCGTGTGTGTGTGATTTTTCTGTTTCTCTGTTCCCGTCCCTCTGTCTGTCCAGCTTTATCTTTGTCTCTTTCTCCACTTGCGCTCTTCTGTCTCTGTGTGCCCCCTTCCTAATTCCTATCCTATGTCTCTGTGGCTGTCAGCCTCTTTCACTCTATGTCTGTCTTGCAGTCTGTCCCCAAATTCTCCCCTTCTATCTAATCACAGTCTCTGTCCTCTTGTCCCTCCCTACCCATAGCCCCAGTGTAGCCCCCCCTCCCCCCCCGCGTCCTTGTCCCCTCCCTGCTCCTTTCTGAGTAGTGGGGCTGGAGCTCACAGGGGCGGGACAGGAAGGTAGGGAGGCAGGTTGGGACCTGTGGCGCTGAGACCTGAGACCGGGAAAGACGAAGGAGCCCAGAGCTGTGTCCTCCCCCAGAGCTTCTCTGGGGCCTCACTTCCCTGCTGACCCTACCTCTGACCCCCTCCGCCTCCCAGGCCCTCCAAATCCAGCTGTGGCACTTACACGCTGCTGTGTGACCCGGGCCCAGTGACTTCCAGTCCCTCGGCCACCTCAACTGCCTCTTCTGCAAACCCCTGGTGCGGTGCGGTGCGTGCGGATCCCACTTCTCCCAGCTTGTTTGTTTTCAGTTAGATCCCTCGGCCTTTCTCTCTCCTAACCAGATGTGGAGCAAGGCGGGGCAGGGCCTAGGTTCTGACGGCAGCCAGCCCTGGCCTCAACCCCTGTTCTTCCTCTTCCTACCACTGTGACTACCATTGTGACGTGGGACAAGGGACTCCGCCCCTGTGAGGCTCAGTTTCTTCATCTGAGAGATGGGGTGACAACCCTGCTTTGGGGGGGGTTGGAATAAGGGCTCCAGGAGGGCTCAGCAAATGCCCTTACTGCTGCTAAGATCACCCCTCCCTCCCACCACCAGCTCCCCTGTGTATCCGGGAGACACAGCGAGGACAGACCCCAAGGGGTGAGCAGGACCATTTTAAGGCCGAAGCTGTGTCCTCTTGCTTTCCAAGGCTGCACCCCACCCTCAGTCATTGCAGACACATTAAAATAAAGTCACCGCCCACATTAGATACAATGTATGCTCACTACAGGAGACTCGAGCTGCAATTGGCTGGTGGAAGGAATGTTATGTTTCATAGGCATTTAATTAAATGGTCAGGAATGTCGATTTTGCAGTTTTCATTTGGTATTTTGGAGCTTGCAATTTTCATTTTCCTTTCTCAGTTTATTCAAAGACCCTTAAAAAGATTATAAGTGCTGGGCACTGTTCCTGTTATGCAAGACTGAGAAAAATGGCCCTTATTTTTATTGCTACAAGTAACTTTTTCTACTCTGTTTCTTCCAAGCGAAGACTCTCACCCTCTCTGAGTTCTATCTTTCCACCTGTGAGGTAGGGGAACCCAGTGAGCCCTTCCTCCTGTCTCAACCAGCACGAGGACATCAAATAAATAAACAGCCCCTCCTTCAGTTCTGTTAGATTTATTCCAGACAGTTGCACACTCCTGCCCCAGTCATGGGCCTTAGAAGGGCTGGCAGGAGTTGGAGTTCCAAGAAGTTCCCCAGACCAACAAGAGTGGGAGCTGGGGGTAGTGATGGAGGAGGTGTTGTGCTCTGAGGGTCAGAGTGGCCCCCAAGTTGAGGGGTGGAGGTGGAGGGAGCAGGTCAGTTGTTCCTGATGACCATCCGGATCCAGTCTGTATACTTGCAAACTCTGGTGTAGACTCCTGGGATGCCGTTTTGTCCACAAGGCCCCACAGAACCCCAGGACACCAGACCCTGAAGGACTCCCCCACACACCAGGGGACCCCCAGAGTCACCCTGGAAGGGAGAGGAAAAGCAGCACTGTCTGAATAAGGGAGAAATCCTGTCCCCATTTTCCTCCCCGACCCCCCAAACCCATTCCTGGGCTTTGAGGACAGTGGCTCCAATCCTGGTCATCAGAGAAAAGAACACAGCCAGATTCCTGGAGGACAATGGCAATGGCTAACCAATAGAGAAGAGGCACCGTCTCCAGGGGCCAATCCCAGAGGAGGAGGGCGGGACTCTATAAAGGGTAGAGAGGTCTCTCAGAAACAGTGGCTGGGGCTCTGACCAATGAGAGGAAAGAGCATCATCACCAATGCCCAATCCCAGGGGCGGAGGGCGGGACTTCATAAAGAGTAGTGACTCTTCTCAGCGACAGTGGCTGGGGGCCAGCTGGGCAGAGCAGCCTCCTCTCCGGGGCACCCAAAGGGGCAAGGACGCAGACTCAGAGGGTGAGAGGGTCCCCTGGCTCCCTGTCCTGACTCCATCCTCAAATCTCTCTCTCAAGCTGGGGCGGCACCAGCTGCAGGCTGGTATGGGAAAGGCTTAGAGCCCCAGAGACAGTGGCTGCCTGTCCCTGCCAGTTCTTGTCCCAACCCCTCCCTCTCGTTGTGCCCCCTGCCCCACCTCTCCTCTGCTGCCGCCCTCCCTCTATCCTCTCTGCCCCTCCTTCTCCATTTTCTGGTCCTCCCTCCTATTCTCTGCCTCTGTCTCCCTTGTTTTGTGTCTCTCTCCTTTTGGGCCCCATCTGTCTCTTCCGCCGTCTCTCCCTGACTCCCTGTCTCCCCTCAGTCACCCTCCTGCTTCAGTCTGTCCCCCTCCCTTCCTGTCCTGGGTGACAGGCTCACCTGGCAGGCATCCTGCCCAGCGATGCCGCCCGCACACACCATGTTGTCCGTGATTCTCCCAGGGTACACGGCACGGCAGGTGTCGTCGGAGACCAGGGGGAGGTCGAGGCACTGCAGCCGGTCTGGGAATGGGTCTGGAGATGGAAGATGGGTGCTGAAGGGTCCCCCACAGCTCCCCACTTTGAGGCCACCTCCCTCCTCCCAGGGAAGCCCAATCCAAGTCGATATCCCTGCCCCCCACCAGTCTGTACCTTAATCTTAAACCTCTACATTTCCAATCTATAACTCCATTTCATAGTGACTCGTTATCCCTAGGTCATTGGTCCAGTCTCTTTGACATTTGACTTCGGCATAACTCAAGACCATCCTTGTCCCTCTAACCTTGGATATAATGAATCCAGACCTCACCTTCTTCCTCAGTCCCAGATGCTGTGACCTTTGAACTTGAATCTTATTACCTTATCCCAGCTTGACCTCAAGTCTTCTGTCTGCCTCCTGACCCCACGTCCTTGTCTTCTCCTTAACCCCCAGCCTTAGCTCTGCATCCCCTAAACCTTCGCTTCATTGGCTCCAACTCCAAAGTATCCTCTGATCCTAGTTTATTTGACCCCGGACTCCGTGACCCCAAACCTCTGGCCCCAAACCCTGTGACTCCCAATCTTTGATATGTGATTTCTGAGTTCTGATAGAATCCTGATTTCCACCCTCAGATTCTGACCAGATTGTGCAACAACTGGGTCCCATGACCTCTAACCCCAGCCCATGCCCAGATGACCCTTGATGCCCAGATCCTATTTATCTATGCCTTTTGCTCCAGTATGTTGACCCCGACACACTCTGACCTCCAACTGAATCTCTGACCAATCCCTTACCCCCTTTGATTCCCAAGACCCTGATGCACCTTGATCTCTGACCCCAAGCCACCATCCTGATGTTCGACCTCACACCCTAACCCTTTGCCCGTCCTTCCTCTGCGGTGTCATGATCCAGGCCTCCCCCCCTACACCCCAGGCTTTTATCCACCCTGGCCCTGACCCTGGGGCCCCCTTACTCCACGGATGGTTGGTGGTGCCCCAGCCCGAGATGTGGCACTCGGTGTCGGCGGTCGCACAGGTGCTGGGCAAGGGCAGGGTCTGGACGCCTCTGGTCAGGTGCACGGGTGTGCCCAGGCGCAGAAGCCGGAGGTCGTGCTCGTGGCTCTTCAGGGATCCCTGGTAGCTGGGGTGGGTCACGGAGAAGCCGCTGCGCCGGATCTGCTCCGTCCAGTCCAGCTGGCTGAGGCTGTGCTCCCCCAGGCGCACCCAGTACCTGCTGGCGGTGGCAGCGGCTCAGTGGCAGGTGAGTGGCCCTCCGCTGGCCCCCTCCACGGGCCCTCCCAGGCCCCCTGCCTCTCTCTGCAGCAAACTGTCCTCTACGTCTCTCTCTTCCAGGCTCTCGGGCTCTCTCTGTCACCACCTTTTCATTTCCAGTGTCCATCTCATTTTTCCTCTCATGCCACTGCCTCTGTGTCCCCTTCTGATCCTCTTGGACGGTGAGGCCCACAGAGACAGGGACATCTGTGTGTCTTGTTCACCGCCTTAATCCCAGCACCCGGCGTGGAGCAGGTGTCGTCAGTGCTGCTGACTAAGTGAGCCAGTGGCCTCTCCGTCCTGCTGCCGCCTCTCCCCGCCTCTCTGTCCCTTGGCGTCTGAGCTCCCCTTGCACAAAAAGCGTCAGGGCATCAGTCCTAGCAAGTGCAACCTCTCATTTACAAATGGCACCTCGGAGGCCCTGGGAGGTGTCAGCAGACGTAGTCTCAGAGACTGCACAGAGAGTCTGGGTCAGACAGGGGCCCGGGGCTCAGGCTGGGTCAGGGAGTGGCTGGGGCCAGTGGCAGATGCCATATAGGAAAGAAGGGGACATGCAGGAAGGGAAGGGGCAGGTGGTGGCTTCCAGAACCCACTCTGGCCCTCCACCCACCACACTTTACCCCACCCAGCCCCACCCAGGCCCACTGTTGAGGAAGTTCTACTCCTTGTCTAACCTCAGACTCTCTCGTGGCAGAGCCAGCTTCTTACCCCTTGGCGCTCTCCCCCAGCCCCATGAGCCTGCTCCCAGCACTCGCTTTCCCATGACTCCCCCTTCGGCCACCCCAGGAAAGGACTCAGACTGGGGCTTACCTGCCGCTGCAGTGAGCAGCTGTGAGGACCCACCGGCGGTCAATGAGGACACCCCCACAGCGCAGGTTGGTACCCTCAAAGAGCCCCACCTGCCAAGGCTGTGAGTTTCGCTGACACTCGGTGCCATTCAGAATCTTCAGTGTGGTCGCGTGGCTGAGCCCTGGGGACAGGATCATGGGTCAGAGAGAGGAAGGGAGATACAGAGATGGAGAGACAGAGAGAGAGAGAGAGAGACAGGGGTGGGGGTGAGAGAGAGACTGACTCAGTGATAGAAAGAGACAGTGAAACACAAACACCAAAGAGACTCAGGGAGAGAGATGCTTAAAGGTAGGAGGGAACTAGACAGAAGAGGAGCTGGATCAAAAGTTGTAGGAGCCAGAGGTAAGTGGCACCCCAAGAGCTTGGGGTAAATGAAGGCACAGAGTGAGCCCTTCCCCTCCTCAACCAGGCTGGGGGCCGGGGCTGAGAAAAGGAGGTGGGAGACCCAGCCCCATCCTGCCCCAGGAGAACTCACCAAGAACACACAGGAGCAAAAAGATGCTGGTGCCCATGGCAGGCCACCTCCAAGGTCTGGGGGAAGAGGTGGGGAATCTCAGAGATCACCCCTTTCCCAGGGCACTCACCCCTGCCCTCTCGACCTGTCCCCACAGGCCACCCTCTCATGGGTGACCACCTGCCCCATCTCACCTGGTCTCTTTGTCTGCGGGATCCTCTATGTGCTGTCACCGGTTCAGCCTGTCTCTCTCTCTCTGCTATCTCTTTGTCCACCTACCTGTCTGCCCTTTCATCTACTAGCTACCCTGCCAGCCAGCTCTCCCACTCTCCACCTGGATCCTCAGCCGCTTGTCATGTTGCCCAACCTGTCCCCTTCCTTCTGTCTGTCACCCCAGACCAGCCACTATAAAAGCTTTTAACTCTCCTTGTCCCAGCCCATCCAGTTTCCTGGTTGAAGGAAGGGGATGAGGAAGACAGGGGTGGGGCGTTCTCTAATTTGGCAGAAACTCTTCTCAGCTAATGACACATAATTGAGCTTTACAGCTAAATGGAGAGAAAAGGAAGGAAAGGACCCAGGGTGGGAAGACCCAACCCCACTTCCTTTCTTATTCCCAAACCCACCAGCAGCCCCAGGACAGATGACTCAAGGTGACTGAGGAGCTGGGTTCTAATTCCTTCCGCAGTGACTGGGAGGGTGGGGACACTTGGGGCTGTCCCCTGCAGCACACTGGAGGGATTAGGGAGAGGGAGTGGCTGCAGAGGCCAGATCTTAGACGTAGACGTGAGGGGTGGGAAGACCGAGAGCAGAGAGAGTCCCGGAAAGAGAAGAGCAGAGGAAGGAGCAGATGTCAAAATAGGCGGTCATTGGACTGCAAACCAGTGCAACCTCTGTGGAAAGCAATATGGAGACACCTTAAAGAGATACAAGTGGCTCTACCATTTGATCCAGCAATCCCATTACTGGGCATCTACCCAAAAGAACAAAAGTCACTCTATGAAAAAGACATCTGCACTTGAATGTTTATAGCAGCACGATTCACAATTGCAAAGATGTGGAAACAACCCAAGTGCCCATCAATACATGAGTGGATTAATACAATGTGGTATGTGTATATCATGGAGTACTACTCAGCTATAAGAAACAATGGTGATCTAGCACCTCTTGTATTTTCCTGGATACAGCTGGAACCCATTCTACTAAGTGAAGTATCCCAAGAATGGAAAAATAAGCGCCACATGTACTCACCAGCACATTGGTTTCACTGATCACCACCTAAGTGCACATATAGGAATAACATTTATCGGGCGTCGGACAGATGGGAGGGGGAGGAGGGGATGGGTATATACATACATAATGAGTGGGATGCGCAGCGTCTGGGGGGTGGACACACTTGAAGCTCTGACTCTGGGGGGGAAGTTGGGGAAAGGCAACACACGCAACCTAAATGTTTGTACCCCCATAATATGCTGAAATAAAGACAAACACCAACCAGGTGGTTCAGGGAGGAGACAGAGAGAGGTGTCCAGGTGGGGTTTGACGTCTACGAATTTTTCCTTACTCTGCATTTTCAACTCTAATCACCTGGGAGGACCCTCACCTTGACCACTTAAAGAAGCCCAGATCTTTCGTATATATAGTTTATTTTATTCCAAGAAAGTTTTCTTTGCACCAGAGCTTCCATTGCTTAAATAAAACCCACAGAGAAAGAGGACAGGGAAGGAAAATGGTAGAGGTGGCAGGGGTGGGGGGGGGGGAATGAGAACAAAAAGGACTGAGACTCAGAAAGGGAGATTGCGGAACAAACCAAGAGAAAGGTGGTCAGAGAGAGAGAGAGCACACAGAAACAGAAAGAACAGGATAGGGGTCCACCAACCCCACACCCTTCTTTTAGTTTTTCACTTTCTCTTTGGGTCTCAGGTCTCTGTGTCTGTCTGTTTTCAGAATCACAAAACTTCAGCTCTCACTCAGGCCCATAATCCTAGCATTCTGGGAGACTGAAGCAGGAGGATTGCTGGAGGTCAGGAGTTCAAGACCAGCCTGAGCAAGAGCGAGACCCCTGTCTCTACTAAAAATAGAAAGAAATTAGCTGGACAACTAAAAATATATAGAAAAAATTAGCTGGGCATGGTGGTGCATGCCTGTAGTCCCAGCTACTCGGGAGGCTGAGGCAGGAGGATCACTTGAGCCCACGAATTTGAGGTTGCTGTGAGCTAGGCTGATGCCTCGGCACTCTAGCCTGGGCCAAAGAGTCTTTGTCTCAAAAAAAACAAAAACAAACAAAAACTCCAGCTCTTGATTTGCTCTTAGAGACTATCCTACTCAACTCCTCTCTTTTTGTGGATTTTTGAGGAATCAGGTTTGTTGACATGTAGTTTACATCCAATAAAATGGAATACACAAAAATAAGGCAGAGTCCTTGATTTTTAGGAGCATTCATGCAAATTTAAAATGACCATATGTGGTTAATAACAATGGATTGTATACTTGAAAATTACACAGTACATTTTAAGTGTTCTCCCCACGATTAAATGTTAAATATGTGAAACAATGCACATGATAGTAAGCTTGATTTAGCCATTCCACAATGTATACATATTTTAAAGCATTATGTTGTATATCATAAATATATGCAACTTATATTTGTCAAAAAAATAAATAATTTTTGTTTAAAAAAATTCACCCTTCAGCTTCAGTTGGGAGCTGCCTTGCTGGAATGCAAACATAGTGCTGCAAAATCCTCTGATTTTTCAAGAGAAGCTGGAAATTCAGATTTATAGTGGGGCATTTTCTGATCTTAAAGTATTGGAAAAAAACAAACAAAACTGTAGGCTTAACAGATCTCTCTCTCTCTCTCTCTCTCTCTCTCATTTTCATCTTTCTTAGAGGGGTACTGTTCACATAGTATAAAATTCAGTATCTTTGAATAATTTAAAATCTACCATTTTTTTCCAAGCCAGAAAACTTTGAGATTAAAATCTACAATTCAGTGACTTCCACCACATTGGCCGTTTCACAATGTTGTTCAACCACCACCGCTAATTCCAGAACCTTCTCAGTCCCTTCAGATGAAACTCTGTGCCCGTTAAATGGCTGTCTGTCAACTGATGATAAATAAAATGTAGTACATCCATCCAGTGGAATATCATTCAGCCGTAAAAGAGAATGAAGTTCCGTCTGACACAGGCTACAACGGGGATGAGAATTGAAAACAAGATGCTGAGTGACAGAAGCCAGACACAAAGGGCCACATGCTGTATGACTCCATGTATACGAAATGTCCGGAGTAGGCAAATTCACAGAGGCAGAAAGTAGGTTAGTGGTTGCCAGGGGCCTCGGGGCGGGGGGTGGGGAGGGGAGGGTGACTGCCTAGAGCTCTCTTTTGACCCACAGACTGCGGGTTAGTGGCTTCTGGCTAAAGACAAACCCCTTTTGCTGCAGCTGGAGTGAAGCCCCCAAAGGGGCAGGACTGGCCTGCAGCCCCGCCCCTCCTGCTTTGGGAGAAAGCTCTGAGAACCCCTCGCTAGTGCCCCCAGATGTCCCCAGCCCCTGCGCCTCCTGTCTCACCTCCCGGGCACCATCGAAAGTGTCTTCTCTGGACAGAGCTCAGCCACCCAACACACAGGGTGAGGGCCCAGAACATGGAGACTCTCAGAGATAGGGAAACTGAGGCATGGCTTAATGACGTCATTTACCCAAAGTGGAAGAGCCAGAGGCTGAACCATGCAGGCGGCTGCCCCCAAAGCCTATATCTTCATCATTATCCAAATATATGAATGAACAAATGAATGACTAACTGAATACAAAAGTACACATGAATGGATGAATGGATGAATGCTTCTACAGGTTTGAAAGAGAGGATAGCATTTGGAACCCTTTAGACCTGGACTGGAACCGTACCTCATCCCATGATTCACTGGGGGCCATCAGGCTACTCTCGTTTCCTGACCTCTGTTTGCTCATCTGAAAAATGGGACTAGGAAGCTAAATGTCTGCACCTTGCTTCCACTCGGGAGGTCAAACAAGGTGACCGAAGGTGGATAGAAATATTGGGTAGCTAAGGGTACACACCATCAAGATGGCTCTGATCAGTTTGTTTCTGTACAAAGAAGGAATTTGCAAAGCTGACTTGGATGACAGAATCTTTTCTTTCTCAGATGTGAAGAAATAGCAGTGACAGTTTGTTACTGTTCTTTGTTCTGTCTCGGTCTTTACATTCCTCCTCCAGGCCCGACCCCCCATCTCTGCAATGGGCTTCCCCACCTGAGGAAAGTCCTGCTCACCTGTCGTGGTCGCCCTGTAGATGCGTGATGGACCCCCCCATCCCAAATTTTGTTTGGATGCAGAGACTAATGATGCCCCCATCTACCAAGCGAGTGTAAAAGGCGTGTTACTCACAGAAGGAGGGTTCCGGGGGAGAGCAGAGCGGCTGCCCAAGCTGGTCCAAAAATGGCTTGAGAGAGAGTGGAAAGGAGATTGGCTTGGGGTGGTCACAGGGTGGGGCTGGGGTGAGGGTTTGCCATAAACAGCCTGGGGCTTGTGTGGTTTGAACTTCTCACCAGCATTTAAAAAGGGAGCAGCTGGGTTTTCTTTTTTCTTTCTTTTTTTTGATTTTTGAGACAGGGTCTTGCACTGTGGCCCAGGCTGGACTGCAGTGGTATCATCATAGCTCACTGCAGCCTCAAACTCCTGGGCTCAAGTGATCCTCCTGAGCAGCTGGGACTACAGCAGCATGTTACTGTGCCTGGCTGTTTTTTTGTTTTTGTTTTTGCAGAGATGGGGGGGGGTCTTGCTATGTTGCCCAGGCTGGTCTTGAACTCCTGGCCTCAAGTGATCCTTGAGCCAAGCCTCTTCATTCACAGGTATGAGCCACTGCACTCAGCCTAGGGTTTCTTATTAGTTTGCCCAGATATGGAGAAGAAGGGGAAGAGAGGGAGGGGAGGGACCTACCACTTTATCGGCTATTGAACATCAAATGGAGTCAGGCTAGAGATATGTGTGAACTTGACTAATATTTGGAATATCTGTGAAGCAAGAGATTCCCAGAGTTCCTCACCCCAAAGTGGGTTACCCTGGATAAGGAACTATTGGTGCTGTCATTGGCAGGGACCAAATGGCCAGATCATTGGCAATAGCTCAAGATTCTTTGAAAATGTGCACAGATGGCTCCCGCCTATAATCCTAGCACTTTGGGAGGCCGAGGGGGGAGGATCACTTGAGCTCAGGAGTTCAAGACCAGCCTGAGCAAGAGCAAGACCCATCTCTACTAAAAATAGAAAAATTACCCGGGTGTTGTGGCTCACACCTGTAGTCCCAGGTACTGAGGAGGCTGAGGCAGGAGGATCCCTTGAGCCCAGGAGTTTGAGGTTGCTGTGAGCTATGATGATGCCACAGCACTCTACCCGGGGTGACAGAGCAAGACTCTGTCCCCCCACCCCCCAAAAAATTGTGCAAAAAATTGTTGGCCTGGGCATCTAGTGCTAGGATGACTTCCTGAAGTTCAGGTTCCAGTTTTGCTGACCAGTTCTTGGTCAGGGACATCCTGGGTGAGGAATGAAAAACAGCTGCTCGGCAGGAAGCTGTGTGCTGGTGGCACTGTCATCGCTCACTCAGTTACTCCCAAGGGACTCTCCAGGTAGCCCAGTTGACCACCTCCAGCACCATGGCATCTAGCAAGAAACTGAGGCGAGGAGAGGCTGCCCTCTGCTGCAGGTGGGACATCCCGGAGGCCTCAGGTTCGGCTCCGTCCTGGGTTAAGAAACCCTCGTAGCCATGCTGAGCTTGTGGGGTGCTGCTTCCAGGACCCCAGGCATAATGGGCAGCCGAGTACAGAGGGTCACAGGCGCAGAGCTTTGCATTTCCAAGAAAGCCCAGATGGCCCCAGCGGTTACCTCTCCAGTGGCCCGCAGTGTGGGTCTGAGGACAGCCTCTCGCATCAGAAGCTCATGGACAGCTGTGGCCATAGTGGGCGGCCCGGAGACTCCAGAGGCATACGAGGTTGCCAAGTCCTCTGCCGTAAAGGAGTCTATGCAGGGGCAGGGGACACGATGGGACTGTCCCTTGTCCTCTCGTGTTTCAGTTTGGCAGGTTCTAGAGCCTTTTGTTGAAGGGGCCTCATTCAGGTTGGGCCAATTTGAAAGTACCAGCATAAACAGTAAAATTGGTCGGTGAGGAATCTCTCTGTCCCGGCTGCCGCCAGACCCTAAGCCCTAAAAGCATCATAGGCTTGTTCGAATGTTCTGGGTGCCAAGAGGCTCCACAGCTGTTTCTTGACAGTGTCAGAGAGGGAGGGGTCCTCACTTTACCAAGTAGTTTGCAGGAATGCAGTCGAGGTGGGGGCCTTGCTCTGTGTGGGGCCACGGACCATGGCCTCTGTGACCCGAATGAGTGCGCCAGGTGAGTCTCCTCGGACAAGGTGTATGTCTGGATGTCACCAAGATGATGTCACACCGGTGCTTCTGGAGGAAGCTGGATGCAGTTAAGACCTTGTAGGGTCACAGAACGCTGTACCCCAAAGCATGGAGCTTTGGCATGCCAAGTACTTTGAACTGAAGGATATGGGGGGGCAGGAGCAGGAGGTCCTTTCTGACCTTCTCCCACCTTCCTTTCTCCTTCCCCCATTTCCCCTTCCAAGCAGGTCATCGACACTTGAATTCCTTCTCCCCTGAACACCCTCATATGACAAGTGTCCTGACCTGTACCCAGAGGAAGGAGTGCTGCCCAAAGGGGCTGAGAAGAGTCTGAAGGGACAGGATCCGTTAGCCTCTTCTATGACTGTAACCTATTTGCCACTTGCTGGTTGTATCAAAAGGTATAATTTGAGTAATGTTAGGCACGGGGCCTTAATGAGTACATCACGTTTTGAAATACATATACATCATGGAATGGCTAAATTGAGCTAATTCACATATTTATTGCTTCACATACTTATTTTTTGGGGGTAAGAACACTTAAAATCTACTTTCTTAGCAATTTCCAAGTACAGTGCCCCCACCCCCTCTTATCCATGGAGGATACATTCCAAAACCCCCAGTGGATGCCTGAAACTTTCTCAAAGTACCTATGAGAAAGTTTAATTTATAAATTAGGCACAGTAAGAAATTAGCGACAATAACTAATAATAAAACAGAACAATTATAACACTATATATAAGTAACAATATCTATTATAACAATACAGGGTAATAAAATTGGGTGAATGTGGTCTCCCCCCCCCCCAAATATCTTACTGTTCTGCCCTGTACTCACCTATATTGGGACCTTGGTTGACCACAAGTAACTGAAACCACAGAAAGCAAAACCACAGATAAGGGGTGGACCACTATATGTAATATATTGTTATTAACTGTAGTCACTGTGTTGTACAATTGATTCCTTAGACTTATACCTCCTGTCTCACTGAAATTTTGCATCCTCTTTTATTTTTTTATTTTTCGATGGTTACTGGATATACTTTGGGGTGGGACTAGGTCCTCTCTATTTGTATTCTTACTTTTTCTTGCCTCCAGAGAGCCTCAGATCACTACTATCATGGGATGGTAGCCCATGGCAATGTGGCTTCCTTGGGCTTAAGGACCCCAGGGTTAAATCAGGTTTAAATGAACCTCTTGGCTGTGCCGTGAATGTTTTTCCATGTAACCCTGAGAAGGAGGATCTTTGTTGTGACAGAGACAGCAGGAGCCACCCCAGCAGCAAAGGGTCCCAGCGAGCTCCCAATCTTCCTTTGGGAGTGTGACCTCAGCTCGTGACATTCTAACTGCTGTTCCGCCCGGGTGACCGCAGTTACCGAAGCCTGATGAGCCCATGTGTTGCACAGAGGATCACGGTGGCGTCACTCTTGCCCCTGAGTGCTCCAGTAGAACACGGGCCAACACCTGGTTGGGGCCAGGTGTTCACCCTGAGACACACAGAGAGGTCTGGGCCAAGACATGAGACCCAGGGCCACTCGAAAAAGGGTCCCTTTCCTATGTGGGAACTTGAGGCAAAATAAGTAAATAAATAAGAAAATTATTTAAAAAAATTAAAAAAAAAAAAGAAAGAAAAAGGGTCCCAGCCTCATACTCCTGTTCCTAAATCCCAGCTATCAAAACTTTACACTCATCTTGGTTAAATCTATAACAGAGGCTTAACAGGCGTCCTCAAACCACGGCCCTGTGGGTCACATGCGGGTGTTTTTGCCCGTTTTTTTTTTTAAGACAAAGTCTCACTCTGTTGCCCAGGCTAGAGTGAGTGCCGTGCATCAGCCTAGCTCACAGCAACCTCAAACTCCTGGGCTCAAGCGATCCCCTGCCTCAGCCTCCCCGAGTAGCTGGGACTACAGGCATGTGCCACCATGCCGGCTCATTTTTTTATTATAATATATATTGGCCAATTAATTTATTTCTATTTATAGTAGAGACGGGTCTCACTCTTTCGGCTGGTTTCGAACTCCTGACTCAGCAATCCACCTGCCTCTGCCTCCCAGAGTGTTAGGATTACAAGCGTGAGCCACCCCGCCCGGCCCCCCATTTGTTTTTTTAGTTCAAAATAAGATATGGCGCAGTGTGCATAGGAATTTGTTCACATTTTTTTAAAATTAGTCCGGCTCTCCAATGGTCTGAGGGACAGTGAACTGGCCCCTGTTTAAAAGTTTTGAAGACCCGGTGGCCCGGCCTGTAATCCTAGCACTCTGGGGAGGGCCAAGGCGGGCGGATTGCTCGAGGTCAGGAGTGTGAACCAGGCCTGAGCAACAGGTGAGAGAACCCATCTTGACTTAAATAGAAGAATTATTGGCATAATAGGTAATAGAAAAAATTGAGGACCGGCCATGGTGGCGCATGCCTGTAGTCCAGCTACTCGGGGAGGGCTGAGCAGAACGAATCGGCCTTGAGCCCAGAGGAGATTGAGGGTCTGCCCTGTGGAGCTAGGCTGACCCCACGGCACTCACTCAGCCTGGGAAACAAAGTGAGACTCTGTCTCAAAAAAAAAAAAAGTTTGAGGACCCCTGGCTTAGTAGGTCTCAGCAAATGCAGCGTCCAGCCCCAAGAGTCTGCCCACCAGTAGGCGGCAGGCCGGTGAGCAGGACAAAGCAAGAAGAGAGCCCCCGGGTGGTGGTGGTCAGTTGTCACCTAGACTGTGCTCACAGTCCCCACAAAGGTGGGACAGGCCCTTTGGTGAGTGTGTGACATCAGCAGTCTTGACATCTGAGCCAAATTTCAAATAGGGGTACCCATCCTGTTTCCGGGGGATGGCTGCAGCATCAGTCTTTTCTAGATCCAGCCCGACGTTCCCTGCTGTTTGGGAAGCCTGACCTGAGTTTCCTGCCCTCTCGGTGCTCCTACAGCTGGTCTGCTTCTCTCTTCTTACCCCTTAACCTCTCAGAGAGGAAAGGTGGGCTCATGTCCCCATGTCCCTGACTGGCCTGGGAAGTCCATCCATGTCCCTTCCGCAAAGCCTCACAGTGGGGCTGTGGCTG